CCCCCCCCCCCCCCACCCCCCCCCCCCCCCCCCCCCCCCCCCCCCCCCCCCCCCCCCCCCCCCCCCCCCCCCCCCCCCCACCCCCCCCCCCCCCCCCCCCCCCCCCCCCCCCCCCCCCCCCCCCCCCCCCCCCCCCCCCCCCCCCCCCCCCCCCCCCCCCCCCCCCCCCCCCCCCCCCCCCCCCCCCCCCCCCCCCCCCCCCCCCCCCCCCCCCCCCCCCCCCCCCCCCCCCCCCCCCCCCCCCCCCCCCCCCCCCCCCCCCCCCCCCCCCCCCCCCCCCCCCCCCCCCCCCCCCCCCCCCCCCCCCCCCCCCCCCCCCCCCCCCCCCCCCCCCCCCCCCCCCCCCCCCCCCCCCCCCCCCCCCCCCCCCCCCCCCCCCCCCCCCCCCCCCCCCCCCCCCCCCCCCCCCCCCCCCCCCCCCCCCCCCCCCCCCCCCCCCCCCCCCCCCCCCCCCCCCCCCCCCCCCCCCCCCCCCCCCCCCCCCCCCCCCCCCCCCCCCCCCCCCCCCCCCCCCCCCCCCCCCCCCCCCCCCCCCCCCCCCCCCCCCCCCCCCCCCCCCCCCCCCCCCCCCCCCCCCCCCCCCCCCCCCCCCCCCCCCCCCCCCCCCCCCCCCCCCCCCCCCCCCCCCCCCCCCCCCCCCCCCCCCCCCCCCCCCCCCCCCCCCCCCCCCCCCCCCCCCCCCCCCCCCCCCCCCCCCCCCCCCCCCCCCCCCCCCCCCCCCCCCCCCCCCCCCCCCCCCCCCCCCCCCCCCCCCCCCCCCCCCCCCCCCCCCCCCCCCCCCCCCCCCCCCCCCCCCCCCCCCCCCCCCCCCCCCCCCCCCCCCCCCCCCCCCCCCCCCCCCCCCCCCCCCCCCCCCCCCCCCCCCCCCCCCCCCCCCCCCCCCCCCCCCCCCCCCCCCCCCCCCCCCCCCCCCCCCCCCCCCCCCCCCCCCCCCCCCCCCCCCCCCCCCCCCCCCCCCCCCCCCCCCCCCCCCCCCCCCCCCCCCCCCCCCCCCCCCCCCCCCCCCCCCCCCCCCCCCCCCCCCCCCCCCCCCCCCCCCCCCCCCCCCCCCCCCCCCCCCCCCCCCCCCCCCCCCCCCCCCCCCCCCCCCCCCCCCCCCCCCCCCCCCCCCCCCCCCCCCCCCCCCCCCCCCCCCCCCCCCCCCCCCCCCCCCACCCCCCCCCCCCCCCCCCCCCCCCCCCCCCCCCCCCCCCCCCCCCCCCCCCCCCCCCCCCCCCCCCCCCCCCCCCCCCCCCCCCCCCCCCCCCCCCCCCCCCCCCCCCCCCCCCCCCCCCCCCCCCCCCCCCCCCCCCCCCCCCCCCCCCCCCCCCCCCCCCCCCCCCCCCCCCCCCCCCCCCCCCCCCCCCCCCCCCCCCCCCCCCCCCCCCCCCCCCCCCCCCCCCCCCCCCCCCCCCCCCCCCCCCCCCCCCCCCCCCCCCCCCCCCCCCCCCCCCCCCCCCCCCCCCCCCCCCCCCCCCCCCCCCCCCCCCCCCCCCCCCCCCCCCCCCCCCCCCCCCCCCCCCCCCCCCCCCCCCCCCCCCCCCCCCCCCCCCCCCCCCCCCCCCCCCCCCCCCCCCCCCCCCCCCCCCCCCCCCCCCCCCCCCCCCCCCCCCCCCCCCCCCCCCCCCCCCCCCCCCCCCCCCCCCCCCCCCCCCCCCCCCCCCCCCCCCCCCCCCCCCCCCCCCCCCCCCCCCCCCCCCCCCCCCCCCCCCCCCCCACCCCCCCCCCCCCCCCCCCCCCCCCCCCCCCCCCCCCCCCCCCCCCCCCCCCCCCCCCCCCCCCCCCCCCCCCCCCCCCCCCCCCCCCCCCCCCCCCCCCCCCCCCCCCCCCCCCCCCCCCCCCCCCCCCCCCCCCCCCCCCCCCCCCCCCCCCCCCCCCCCCCCCCCCCCCCCCCCCCCCCCCCCCCCCCCCCCCCCCCCCCCCCCCCCCCCCCCCCCCCCCCCCCCCCCCCCCCCCCCCCCCCCCCCCCCCCCCCCCCCCCCCCCCCCCCCCCCCCCCCCCCCCCCCCCCCCCCCCCCCCCCCCCCCCCCCCCCCCCCCCCCCCCCCCCCCCCCCCCCCCCCCCCCCCCCCCCCCCCCCCCCCCCCCCCCCCCCCCCCCCCCCCCCCCCCCCCCCCCCCCCCCCCCCCCCCCCCCCCCCCCCCCCCCCCCCCCCCCCCCCCCCCCCCCCCCCCCCCCCCCCCCCCCCCCCCCCCCCCCCCCCCCCCCCCCCCCCCCCCCCCCCCCCCCCCCCCCCCCCCCCCCCCCCCCCCCCCCCCCCCCCCCCCCCCCCCCCCCCCCCCCCCCCCCCCCCCCCCCCCCCCCCCCCCCCCCCCCCCCCCCCCCCCCCCCCCCCCCCCCCCCCCCCCCCCCCCCCCCCCCCCCCCCCCCCCCCCCCCCCCCCCCCCCCCCCCCCCCCCCCCCCCCCCCCCCCCCCCCCCCCCCCCCCCCCCCCCCCCCCCCCCCCCCCCCCCCCCCCCCCCCCCCCCCCCCCCCCCCCCCCCCCCCCCCCCCCCCCCCCCCCCCCCCCCCCCCCCCCCCCCCCCCCCCCCCCCCCCCCCCCCCCCCCCCCCCCCCCCCCCCCCCCCCCCCCCCCCCCCCCCCCCCCCCCCCCCCCCCCCCCCCCCCCCCCCCCCCCCCCCCCCCCCCCCCCCCCCCCCCCCCCCCCCCCCCCCCCCCCCCCCCCCCCCCCCCCCCCCCCCCCCCCCCCCCCCCCCCCCCCCCCCCCCCCCCCCCCCCCCCCCCCCCCCCCCCCCCCCCCCCCCCCCCCCCCCCCCCCCCCCCCCCCCCCCCCCCCCCCCCCCCCCCCCCCCCCCCCCCCCCCCCCCCCCCCCCCCCCCCCCCCCCCCCCCCCCCCCCCCCCCCCCCCCCCCCCCCCCCCCCCCCCCCCCCCCCCCCCCCCCCCCCCCCCCCCCCCCCCCCCCCCCCCCCCCCCCCCCCCCCCCCCCCCCCCCCCCCCCCCCCCCCCCCCCCCCCCCCCCCCCCCCCCCCCCCCCCCCCCCCCCCCCCCCCCCCCCCCCCCCCCCCCCCCCCCCCCCCCCCCCCCCCCCCCCCCCCCCCCCCCCCCCCCCCCCCCCCCCCCCCCCCCCCCCCCCCCCCCCCCCCCCCCCCCCCCCCCCCCCCCCCCCCCCCCCCCCCCCCCCCCCCCCCCCCCCCCCCCCCCCCCCCCCCCCCCCCCCCCCCCCCCCCCCCCCCCCCCCCCCCCCCCCCCCCCCCCCCCCCCCCCCCCCCCCCCTTGTATCATCTTAAGTGCCTTTCTTTTGGCCCTATATATTTGGCTTCTATTCACATCAATCATATGCTCCTTCTCACACTTTGTTGCATTGCACTAACTTTCCAATCTGGTTCATCTCTCAGTTTCTCAACATATTTCATTGCTAACCAAGACGCAATTGCTTTCTTATTCTGATAGGTACATGTACAATTGTGTGTTGGCTTGAAGCTTTTTATTTGAAAATTTAACTTATCCTGCATGAGTGAAGCATGGATACGCCAACCACAAGACTGTGAACACACTGTTGTGACCTTATCGCCATCATTCCATAAGGTATTTGAAGTCAAACCCATCCATAATAGCATGTTGTCTAAGTGCCATCCTAAATATGATAGCTGAAATAAAGATCATTCCCAGTATCAATTTAGGATTAGACATATCAGTGGTCTCCATGAATTCTTGATACCTCACGTTTATTACATCGTCGTCTGAGTTAAGGGGATTATATAGATGATCATTGTCCTCATCAGACAAGCAATCATTTAATTTGTCCTTGCCTCTATCAAAACTATTCCCCCTCCCAACACCAGAACATTCCTCTCCAATTTTTGACTTTCCCTTGTCAACCCTACTTCTATTTTCAAGACTAGGAGTGTAGGCACACCATCATAAAAGTACAACAAGTCCAAATATGATAAATCATCAAATGAGTTAGTATATATTTCCACTGTATCAGGCAAACCATCACATAAAGTGAAAATTGATGGGGCTTTTCTGAAATACTCCATGATGAAGACACGTGTCCTCGGTATTTACCAAAATACTGTTACTAAGATCAAGCACCATCGGCGCATAAAGGTCCTCGCCCCCGAGATACTCGTCATATAGGATCATGGCATTTCAGTACGAGTTACAACCAACACGTAACCTCGGTCTGATATAGTACCTCGGTCGGTATACCTCCCTCGGTTCCGAGATGAGCCTTTCCTCGGTGCCGAGAGGTACCCCGTTCTGGACGCTTCCTCTACTCCAGGATAAGCTATTGACGTACAGGTCATTAGCCTAGGCTAGTCTAGGCTATTCATCATGACCTCGTCTTACACAATTAGTGTCAGAACGTACTGGAATGCAGGGGCCACAGCCAATGGGGGATGGACGCGTGGCGTATGATATCACATCGAAGACAGAGAAACCGCATGCCGTTGCTGACATGCGACTTGGGAAAGCAAATGATTAATTACACCATTCCTTGATGAGACCGCATTCAATGCGGTAAAGCTCGGAAATGAAAGGCAATAAATGCTCCTAATACAGAGCATTTATTGCATCCTCCCCGAGAGGAGTACATTGTACCGTCAGCATCCCGATGACCCAGCATTGATTGCTCGGGACCCCGAGCAGTTAAGAAGAGAAGACATTCCTCATCAGAATCAGTGCGCACACTGCCTGTACCTAATGATCACCAACTGACTACATTGACAGCAATCATGAGCTTTTGAGGTATAAATACTCCTTGCAAAAGGCAAGACGGATATGCAACAAAAAAACCTTTACTACAATACACACAGTGTTTTCTCCTTCCTCTCTCTTTCTCAAAAACTGACTAGATCGTCGGAGGGGATACGCCGGAAAACACGCTGGCGCCCTTCTAACTTGTTCTTCTTTGTTCCAGGGACCTCTTTCAGCCTTACTGGATCGTTCTTCCGCTCCCCAGGGTCTCCCGTTGCCGTTCCAGGTTACCACCGAACCTCGCAGGCTGTTCCAAGCAGCGTGGTTGGTCACTCAACTGGCTCACTCGAGTTCACCAGGGAGAGATCTGTTCTCGTTTTTTATATTGTGCAGGATCTTGCACGCACAGAAACATACTCAGTATTAAATTCATAATCAAAGGTAGGAGTATCAGATTTATCTCCAACAATAGATATACCTCTTCTACCTTTATTAATCTGCTCAGTGACTACATACAAGCTAATAATATCATTCCCCTCATAACATGCAAACATGTTAAGTACATCATTATACGAAGCCAATGGCCTTAAACCATCTTCACTATCTGCATCTGGTAGCATACAGTAGACTGTGTATCCTGTATCTTTCTTATAACCTAGAGTTTCAACCATGTCATCTACCTCAATTTGAGACATAAAATCTGGATCAATGTTATCAAACCTGTTAATTTTACCTCCAAAACAGGACTAGAAGTGACAAAATGCCCTCCATGTTGAAATTCCAGAGTTAAGTAACTAGTTTCCATCTGCACAAAACAACAAAAACTTAGTAAATTTGTTTAATAGGGGGCCACCAACCTTGATGATGCCTTAAATGTGAACTAAAATATTTGATCTTTAAGCTCAAACACAGTGAAAGTTGTTTAATAGGGGACTACAGTTAGTGATAATGCCATAAAGGTGAACAAAAATAAGTCTAAGTACATGGTTCCCAAAATGACAGACAAGGAATCAAAGGCAAAACAAAAAGCTTTAAACCCAAAAGAAATCACATGGTTCTGACAATGTCAGACAAGGAACCCAAAATGTAAAACAAAAAGCTTTAACACATGATGAATTAGCTAGATTCGAATGACAACATGCCCACAAACCTTTTTTGTACCGTAATTATTACCTTCAATCGAACTTTCGAGCTCAATCGTTGTTGCTTTGTTCGCTTGGATCGTCTACAACAAGAAGCATTCCAGAAAAGAAAAACAGAGTTAAAAAATAAGTTTCATGAGTTTAATTTGGGTTAGAGTTCTATTTATATGAGAAGTGATTACCTAACTGTGGTTAAATATTTGGCGCCAATACATCAACTGGGATGAAGGATAGTTTTGGAATTTCACCGTCTCAGTCATTTCTGTCAGTTTATTTGCTCATTCAGTCGTTTTTAAAGTTGAAAGGGGCAAATTATTTAATTTTAAACCAGAGGGACCCGATTGAAATAAGATTCATAGTTCAAAGAGGTATTTTGTAATTAACTCTTAAGTTTATTCTTGTATAAATAAATGTTAACCCAATAAATATGCTGAATTAATCAATTATTAAACTTATCTTTATAAATAAATGAATAACATTTGTGTTTTCATTTGTTTCAATATTTTTTTTGCGTTTTTATTATGTTTCTGAAATGTTTTCATTTTTTAGTTAACCGAAATAATTTTTTGAAACAATATTTCGATTCTTGAACACACCTAGGCATACAAGTACATTAAACGATGACAAATTTCTTTCGTTTAACGTACTCGTTAGATGGCGGTTCACATATAGATTAACATATATTTACCAAAATCGGCTAATTTCAATGTATATTTGGCATAGTTACTGATGATGATGAATTTAAGTCCAAGCCCCTTTCGAAGCCCAAAATCCCTTTGAGCTCACGCGAGATGACCTAAGCGCCTCATTAAGATAACATTCACCATGTCTGAGTTGGACCATAGCTCAACTCCATGGAAGCCCAAAATAATTTAGCTCAGAATAAATGTCAGCTCGACATCAGCAAGCTCGATACTAATATCCACTCGGGAGTGGGGAGCTTGACACCAAGCAGTTCACAAATGGTCTTAGGACACTTGACAATCATAATGAACGCATATTCACCGACAGTGGAGATGGTTCACGTATTCCCTTTAAGGCGTAGTGGGCACAAGAATACGTCAGAGATAGCAAGATCAGCTACAGGACAAACAAGAAGGGGAACACAGAATCAGTCAAGAAAAGAACTACCACGAAACCCTAATGATGAGATGTATAAATAGCAAACGATACTATTGTGTAAAAATATATGAAAAGAAATCACCTAGCAATAACCTAAAGAAATAATCTCGAAAAAACTTCTAACCAAATCTCTTGTAATAGCAACCTTTTTTTCCAAGCAACACAACTCCTCCAGGAACAAGAGTCTCATTTACAATGGATGTAACCTTAATCCTTCGGCTAGGGTGAACCGCTCATATTTTTGTCTTTGTATCACCTTCAACACTCAGTACGTTTTCTATCACATAGACACATACTCATTCCTTCAGGGCCCCACTCCAAATTGCTCTGTAATTGGGTCAGTTGATTTTCAGTACCATCAGATACATTGACGTCTAAGACTATAGAGACGTCTCTTTGATTAACTACAATTAACATCATCATAAACATAAAATTAAACCTCTTCATCTACCACATCAAATTTATTCTATAAATAGACATTGAAAAACCAGAACAAAGCACAGGAAAAAACATGGAGTAGCCAAGGCAACAAAGAAGATAGTCTAACACCCAAATGCTTACCCATTTTCTAAATGACGCCCATGTGCAACAAGATTGCTTGCAACAAGAAATCAATAGGCTGGAATCCATACTCTACTCCTCCGATGAACAACGCCACAATTGAAAATGACTGCTGAAGAAATATATCAAAAAGTTTAAGAAGGAGATGAACAATAGCAAGAAACTTGAGGCAGAGTTGGAGGATCCGAAAAAAAATGATATTCTTCTCTGCTTTTTTTTTTTAGAAAAAATGAAAAATCCACCTATGTAATATCTCTTTTGTAATTGATATATATTTTTACTTTTTCATGTACGAGTACCGCTGGATACTTTAAATTTGTGTACCTAACTAACCATGTGGAAAGAAATTAGCCTTTGATTGTGTACATGTATTATGCATAGACACGGTGATACATTCACCAAAAAACACTTTTAAAAATATATTTCAAATTCAAAAAATACGTTCGTAAATGACGGTATTTTTCTAATCCATTAACATTCAAAATGAAAAAACCCAAAAAAAAAAAGTACTCTTCAGCCTTTTCTCATTCAACACCAAAGTAGAATTTTTTGGATTTTGTCAACACTACACTCAGACAGTTAAACGTATCAGAGGACATTCAATCGAACAAGTACCGTATAAAAGATCATTCAATCTTTTGTTACATTGTTATTGTACCTACTACTTACCATTTAACTAAGTATTCCATTCGTTTTTTCCTGATCAGAAACTAGGGTTTCAAGCAAATACAACTCAATTCGTACTAAGTTTTTTTTTTTTTTTTTCTGTTATTTATTTTGTAATGTACCTATAACACAAAAATAACTGCACCTAGCTGCTCCGTCATTTTGTTAAAAAAAATTTGCATGTACATTCAGTTTTCAATTTATTGTGCCTAAGCTATGTACATGACCGACAACCATGAATACAAAACTTTCGGTCATGTAAAATATAATTTCATTGAAGTAAAATACTTGAATTTTAGTGTACCTAAGTGTATACATATAGGTATATTGTTAATGTACCTATTCATTATCATTCGATTATTTCGTCCATTCAATTTTTGATGAACTAAAACTAGGGTTTCATGTAATAAAACTTTAAAAAATAGATTATTTTGCTATCGATTTAGTCAATATACCTAATACACAAATATAACTATACCTGTAACGTAATGTATCTACACCTATCAAGAAATACATAAAACTTGTGTATCTACTTTCTGTACCTACCAAATCAATGATTAATATTATACTAAGTACATTCCAAACTGTTGATTTGTCGAATTTGAAATTCAAAAACGATAGATAGAATTCAAAAAATACTCAAAACAAACTCAAAAAAAAGACCGCATTCACACCAGAAAAAGAAAAGTAATACAATATTTTTAGAAACACACTAACTATCCAACTCCTACACATTCACACCAGTCCAAAGACCGCATACAATGTTTTTAGAAAAATGGAGGATATTTGTTTATACTAAAAAGTCGGTAGGATTAAAATTGATTTACATACCAAAAGAGGGATCCTTGCCTAATTAACTCTTATATTCTGTTTGGTAGAAATGATAGAAAGTAAGAAGGAAACTTTTTCTATTATTCAAGGATGGAAAGTAGGAAGGACACACTTTCTTTCTTTTGTGTTTAGTTGGATTGATGAAAAATAAAAATGACTATTTTTTTTTTGTGCTGGCTAAGATTAGGGGTGACAATGAAGTTGTATAGTGTCAGATTCGTATTGAATCATTACGGGTTTGTGTCAAATATTAGTCATACCTAACATGACCGAAAATTTTCACCCTTAGTTAAGATGGAAAAAATATTTTTTTTAATTTAAATTTTTTAATTTTTAATTTTTATTTTAAAATTTATTTTTAAAATTTTTTAATATATATACATATTTTATCATTGTATTTTAATATGAAATTAATGTATATATAATATATGTATATATAAAAAGATATATAGACAAATAAAATACATCTCAACACAAATAATTAACTTTTCATCCACTTTCCTTTCGATTTTAGAGGGATTGATTTTGATGAGTTAGAAGGAAAGTTAATACATCCACTTTTCCATCTTTCTTATTTTTCTTCCTTACCAAACATGATGTTTTATTTATCCTTCCAACTTTCAATCCTCCCACTTTTCCATCATATCAAACGGAACATTAGATTTATCTCTAACCCCAGCCCAAAAAAACTCCGTTCTGTCACTTTCATGTCCTTTTATGTAAGTTATTCTTGCCTATGTACGTTTTACAAATTAATATAGTTTTATTTATCCAACAGAAAAATTTTTGGCCCAATCTTTCTTATTTGCATGAAAACACCAAAGAGCTGAGACAACAA